TGTGTTTGTTTAATTTTACTTACTACCTTTGCCATATTTTCTTCTTTTTCTTTCCTTATTTTTAAAGGGAAGGGGAGTCTAATTCGTAACCACACCTGGTGGTGCTCAGATCTTGTCCTGATTCTGTACTCAAGAATCATTCCTGGGGCTAGAGCAATAGCATGGCGGGTAGGGCATTTGCCTTGCACGCGGTCGACTGGGTTCGATTCCCAGCATCCCTTATGGTCCCCCAAGCACTACTAGGAGTAATTCCTGAGTACATGAGCCAGAAGTAACCCCTGTGCATCGCCAGGTGTGACCCAAAAAGGAAAAACAAAAAAAATCATTGTGGACAGTGACCGGAGTCCCATATGCACATATGGTACTGGGGATCTGTATCTTGCTAGGCTAGTGTCAGGCCCCTTCCCTTGCTTTCTTAATCAATTTTCAAAACATTAGCTTATCTATAGTACTTTTTCCTCTTTTGTGACATTGATTGCCTTGTGTCCTTGTGTGATGAGCAGAGTGTCCTTTTTGGCCTATATTTGATCTTAAAAAAAATGAAATGTTTTCAGACATCCATTCATCTAGATCTCAATTTTTATCTTACTAAAAAAAAATTTTTTTTTTGGCTTTTGGGTCACACCTAGAAATTCTCAGGGCCTACTCTTGACTCTATGATCAGGGATCACTCCTGGCAGTGAAGTTCAATTTAAATAAGGATCTGATCAAATGATTACAACTAACTACTGTAATGTTTATATATATATATATACATATATATACATATGACCATTAAAGTTAAAAAATTTCAAGTACCCTTCAATAACTTTCACTGCCTCTAAAATTTATTGATAGTCTAAGTCTCCATGATTCTACAAAATGTTTATCATTTCCTAACTCTTGTCCCCATCCAGTTTCTTCATTCAGATGAATATATCTATTGGAGTTGTAATTTTCATTTTCTATAATTGGTCTCTTAGATTGCTAGCATAAATGCTTTTTAAAGAATTTGGATTTGATTAAGTACCTTCCCTTACTAATGAATCCCAATCATTCCCATTTCTCTTCACTGCTACTTCAAAGCCAGGCCAATGCACAAACAATACTGAATTACTTGAAAAATCTAAAAAGATAATGTTTTTAAATAAGGCTTACCATCAATTTATGATAATTACCAAAATGGGTATAGAGATAATATATCTCAACACATAAAAGTTGCATATGACAAACCTACCAATTATCCCAAAATCACTGGTGAAAACTGAACATTTTTTTCTCTAATATCAAGTTCACTCAAGAATGTCAATGCATAGCACCATTATTCAACATAGTATGACAAATCCTAGCCACAGAAATTATATATGAAAAGATTTCATGATAATGTGTATTGAAAAATCTTAAAAACTCCATGAAAAGCTACTAGAAACAAAAATTAAACAATAAAGTGGCAGGTTACAGAATCAATACACAAAAATGTGTTCATATTTCTATGCAAAGAATGAACTAAAAGAAAAAGAAATTGTAAAACTTTCATTTACAATTACATTAAATATTTAAGTACCTAGGAGTAAACTTAATGAAGATTGTTAAAAGCCAGGATATGGAAAACTAAAAGTGACTGTTGAGGACTATATAAGACACAGAAGATGGAAATAAATTTTATGATCACAGACTGAAAGGATTTAACATTGTTAAAATCATCACCTGAAACTTATAGATCAAAAGCAAACTTCATGAAATTCCCAATGACATTCACCAAGGAAGTTCAACAAATATTACTGAAATTTTATTGAATTACAAAAGACCATCATTAGCCAACAAAATTCTGAAACAAAAAAGAATGGGGCCATTATGTGCCCCAAATTCTAACTATACTTTTATTTTATCATCATCAAAACAGTATAGAATAAAAAGAGACACAGGATGCAGAGAGCTAGTACAGAAGGTAAGACAATTGTCCAGCACTTGAATGACTGGGTTTCACTTCCAGTATCCCAAATGTTTCCCCAAGCACTGCCTGGAGTGATCCCTGAGCATGGAGTCAGGAAGAAGTGCTGAGCACTCCTGAGGGGATCGCCTCCACCCCCTGCCCCCAAATAGACACACAGGTCAATGAATAGATTTGGGATCTAGAATTAAATTCTCTCAAGTGTGGACAACTTATAACAAAGTAACTAGAAACATATACTGGACAACGGAAAGTTTCATACGTAAATGGAGTTGGAGAAACTGGCTAGTTAAATGCAAAAGAATTAAACCAAATCTTTATTTCATAACAAGCACAGAAATTAACATGAAATGGATTAAAAGTTTGGATATTAGGCCCATACCTATAACACGCTGAAGAAACAAGCAAATGACACTGACTTTAGGAATACCTTTGGCAATTTGCCTCAAAAGTAAAGAAAATAGAAGCAAAATTAAATAAATGAGATAATCAAACAAAACACTGTCCTCCCATTGTTCATCGATTTGCTCTAGCAGGCCCAGTAACGTCTCCATTTTGAGACTTGTTGTTACTGTGTTTGGTATATTGAATACATTGCTGGGCTGGAGCGATAGCACAGCGGGTAGGGCATTCGCCTTACAAGCGGCCAAACATGGCCGACCCAAGTTCGATTCCTCCGCCCCTCTCGGAGAGCCCGGCAAGCTACCGAGAGTGTTCGATATGCCAGACACAGTAACAACAAAGTCTCCAATGGAGACGTTACTGGGCCCGCTCGAGCAAATCGACGATCAACGGGAGGGCCTTTACTTTACTTTTTACTTTTACAGGTAGATTGCCAGGCTTTGCCATGCAGGTGAGATACTCTCGATAGCTTGCTGGGCTCTCCGAGAGGGGGCGGATGAATCAAACCCGGCTCGCCTGGGCTGGCTGTGAGCAAGCCAAATGCCCTACCCGCTGTGCTATCGCTCTAGCCCAAATGAATAATATCAAACTAAAACACTCTGCACAGCTAAGGGAAATATTATTAAAATTAAAATACTACTATGGATAAGTTGTGGTATGTTAGGACGCAGATTGTGATCTCCCTTTAATGACAAAGAGACTCCAGAGACTGCAAACAGCAAGCAAGGTTTATTGGAAGACTGGCTAGCTAGGGTCGAGCCGCCTACACAGACACGCAGGTCAGATAGGTGAGGCAAGACCCCCGAACTTCTTCAAAGGGGATCTTATATTGGCCTTCACTGGCTGTTATCACAAAGCCCGCGCATTTCATAGCCAATAGATTTGTAACAACATATACTTTCTTAACCAATCCATTTAAAAGTGCATCACTCCTTAGCCTATGGATTCAAAGATCAGCATTTACGTACATAGGCATTGTGGCTAGTGGGCATCTGGTAACTCGGACATTTGGTTATCACCTGGCTCCCTTTGATTTGGTGGAAGCAGATAAGGGAAAAGTTCCTAACAGAGGTAACAGATAAGGAAGGGCCAACACATGGTTTCTGAATTTACATCCCAGCAGGGTAGAGTCAACAAATGGTTTCAGAATTTACATTCCAATAAGGAAGGGCTTCACAGCTAAGGCTCTACTAGGGAGGGGGCAGGAAAGGGAGAGTTACTAATTAGTAGAGTTTTAACTCTGAAATCTCCCTGGGGTCCCAAGGGACCTTACATAGTATAGTTACATAATAGAATACTATACAGTTCTAATGAAGAACCAAAAGTAAGCAATTTTCTGTGACATGGATGAAACTAGAGCTTATTATGCTGAGTGAGGTCATTCAGAACAGAAGGGGAAAATTCATAATGCTCTCATATGTGGGACTTTATGATACACAGCAGAGTAGCAACAAAGGAACAAAGTCATCATAATGTCAGAGTAGATCTACAGATATGAGTTTGATGGGTTCAGGATGGGGGTTTGAAAGGAAGGAGCCTTAGTGAACTTGGGGAAGGAAGGAAGTAGGAGTGGTCTTGGAATAATGTACACATGAAACCATCACTAACTATTATAAAATAGTAGCTCTTCAATCAGTAAAGATAAAAATCTTCTTTAAAAGAATAAGTGTACTAAAAGAGATAAAAGTAGGAACTTTACTGCCTGTAATCTTTTATAAGCCAACAAATAATCCTGAAACTCATTGGTTTCCAATTAGTGTTTGCTATCTTTGCTCTACATGCTTGCATTCAATGATCTAGACTAAAAGACCACAAACACAGTATTTTGATGTTTCTGCTGGAATGCATTTTTGTTTTTTGTCATGTCATTTTCTAAAATTGGTCCAATAATAAGGTAATGTCAGTAGGGTGGGGATTTATACTTATTCCATGAGGCCACGGCTGGTAGCACAGTTATGACAAGAAAATGGAATCCTCAGATTTAAGTGTAAGACAATCAATGATTGCCAGCCCCTCTGCTGGAACTCTGTGCCTTTCACCAACTGTGACTCTGGAATTTTTTTATATATAATCCAACAATAAAAAATACTAAGCTTAAAATATGTTTTAACCATGAAAAATTGACTTATTTCAAATTCCTCTTAATAAACACTTAAAAGTTCTAAACTGAACAGAGGAAAGGAGACCAAGAGGTGTGGATGAAAAACCATTATTAGGTTATCAGTCTTGGAGTAGTACATACTTGGCTGAATTTTCTCCTGCACTTTGCTATAGTAAGAAGCCATCCTAATGGAACAGTGAAGCTTTTAGGTGATCTAGTTATTAAATGCTCTCATTATTAAAGATTTCTTTGTTGTTGTTGATGAAAGAAAAACAATAAGTAGATGTTTAATTTTATAGGAATTTGTTACAAAACTATTTGTATCATAACAAATATTAAATATTAACATCCCAGAAAGTATTATGGAATATTTATACAATAATTTACATAAGTTTGATGATTTGATAAAAAAAAATTTACTCTTCATTTTGATTTAAAAGTATTCCCTATCTTTCCATGAATAATCAAGGCATATAGATTTTGAAAAGTTTTAAACTTTAGATAAAGTTGGCTTTAAGTGACCATGTATATCATGTTTGTTTCTTTTTAAATCATTCTTCTTAACAGGACAAGAGAATAATTCAACAAAGAATGAAGTAAAAACTGAGGCAGAGTCCCAGAGCTCAAATATGGAAACAGAAGGTATTGAAATCATTTGATATTTTTTCAGAGAATGAGCCGAGACTTGACCATCAATTGCTGCATATTCTTGTATAAGTGATATATTTGTGTGTCATTTTTAAGCAATGATTACTAAAAACTAGCAATAGTATTTTTCTTTGTCAAAATTTGCAGGGGAAATGAAAAACAACTTTTTTGCTCTCGCCACTAGATATTTTTCAATGATTTCAAGAAAATATTCCTAAATATTCTTCTGTCTGATTTTTTTAGAGCTTTCATCAGGCCAAGAAAATGAGACAATTGTGGAGCAACCAGAAATGAGTCAACCAACTGATGACCAAGGAGAAAAAGATACTGAAAAAGGTAAAATTCCCTAAAGAAATCCATCAAGAATAGGATTCCATCATGGCACACCATTTTGTCCTCAAAGACCCTCCAGGATCCCAGATAGCAGAGCCAGGAGTGAGCCCCGGGCAAGGCTAGAGCCCATAAACAAACAATATATTTTTTATTTTTTAATTTTTAAAAAATTTTATTGAATTACCATGATATTGTTACAAGCTTTCATATTTGGGTTATAATCACACAATGATAAAACACCCATCCATCAACCAGTGCAAATTCCCCACCACCAATATCCCAGGTATAACCCCCCTTTCCCACCCTCCCCTGCCTCCATAGCAGACAATTTTCTCCATACTCTCTCTCTACTTTTGGGCATTCTTTTGCTATATAGCTACTGAGAGGACATCATGTTTGGTCCTTTATCTACTTTCTGCACACATCCCCCATCTCGACCGATTCTTCTAGCCATTGTTTTCTTAGTGATCCCTTCTCTATTACAGAGGCCTTCTCCCTTTTGCTTATGAGGCAGGCTTCCAGCCATGGAGCAATCTACCTGTCCCGTGTATATACTATCCTTAGGTGTCAGCCTCATGTTATGTTGTTTTATACTCCACAAATGAGTACAGTGCTTCTATGTCTGTCCCCCTCTTTCTGACTCATTTCACTTAGATGATATTCTCCATGTCTATCCATGTATAAGCAAAGTTCATGACTTCATCTCTCCTGACAGCTACATAGTATTCCATTGTATAGATGTACCAAAGTTTCTTTAACCAGTCATCTGTTCTAGAGCACTTGGGTTGTTTCCATATTTTGACTATTGTGAACAGTGCTGCAAGGAACATATAGGTACAGATGTCATTTCTACTGTGCTTTTTTGCCTCCTCAGGATATATTCCGAGAAGTGGTATTGTGGGGTCATATGGAAACTCAATTTCTAGTTTTTGAAGGACTGTCCATACTGTTTTCCAGAAAGACTGGACTAGTGGGCATTCCCACCAACAGTGAAAGAGTGTCCCTTTTTCACCACACCCACGCCAGCACTGTTTGATTTTGTTCTTTTGAATATGTGCCAGTCTCTGTGGTGTAAGATGATATCTCATTGTTGTTTTGATTTGCATCTCCCTGATGGCTAGTGGATCATGTTTTCATGTGTCTTTTGGCCATTTGTATTTCTTTTTTGAGGAAACTTCTATTCATTTCTTCTCCCCATTTTTTGATGGGGTTGGAGGTTTTTTTCTTGTACAATTCTACTAGTGTCTTGTATATCCTGGATATTAATCCCTTATCAGATGGGTAGCACTGTAGCAGTGTTCTGTTGATTTGCTCAAGCGGGCCCAGTAATATCTCCATTCTGAGACTTGTTACTGTGTTTGGCATATCGAATATGTCATAGGTAGCTTGCCAGGCTTTGCTGTGCTGGCGAGATACTCTGGGTAGCTTGCCGGGATCTCAGAGAGGGGTGGAGGAATCAAACCCGGGTCGGCCTGGTTGGCCGTGTGCAAGGCAAATGCCCTACCCACTGTGCTATTGGGTAAATATTCTTTCGCATTCTGTGGGGTCTTTCTGTATTTTGGTCATTGTTTCCTTTGAAGTGCAGAAGCTTCTTAGTTTGATGTAGTCCCATTTGTTTACATTTGCTTCCACTTGCATGGTCAATGCCATTTGACTTAAAGATGCTTTTAGCTTCAATGTCCTGGAGAGTTCTGCCTACATTTTCCTCCTTGTACCTTATGGTTTCATGTCTGATATTGAGGTCTTTAATCCACTTTGATCTGACTTTTTTACCTGGCATTAGACAGAGGTCAGAGTTCATTTTTTTGCAGGTAGCTATCCAGTTTTCCCAGCATCACTTGTTGAAGAGGCCTTCCTTGTTCCACTTCACATTTCTTGCCCCTTTGTCAAAGATCAAGTGGTCATATATTAGGGGGTCTGTGATAGAATATTAAACTCTGTTCCATTGATCTTTTTCTATCCCAGTACCATGCTGTCTTAATTACTACTGCTTTGTAGTACAGTTTGAAGTTGGGGAGGGTGATGCCACCAATCTTCTTTTTCCCAAGGATTGCTTTAGCTATTCGTAGGGTTTTATTGTTCCATATGAATTTCAGGAGTGTTTTGTCTATTTCTTTGAAAAATGTCATGGGTATCCTGACAGGGACCACATTGAATTTGTATAGTGCTTTGGGTAGTATTGCCATTTTGATAATGTTAATCCTCCCTATCCATGAGCAGGGGATGTGTATCCATTTCCTAGTGTCCTCTTATTTCTTGAAGTAGTCTTTTGTAATTTTCCTTGTAAAGGTCCTTCACCTCTTTGGTTAAGCTGATTCCAAGGTACTTGATACACTGAGGTACTATTGTGAACGGGATTGTTTTTTTAATATCTCTTTCTTCTCGTTCACTATTTGTATATAAGAAATCAATGGACTTTTGGTTATTGATTTTGTAGCCTCCCATTTTACCATATTGACCTATTGTTTCTAGGAGCTTTTCTTTAGAGTCCTTAGGGTTTTCTAAGTATAGTATCATATTGTCTGCAAATCGTGATAGCTTGACCTCTTCCTTTCCTATCTCTATTTACTGTTTTTTTTTATTAGTGAAACACCATGAGGTACAGTTGTAGATTTACAATTTTTTGTGCTTGGGTTTGATTATACAATGATCAGATACCCATCCCTCCACCAGTGCCCATTTTCCACCACCATGGATAATATCCCCCCCACCCCCATCCCCCCACCCCACCCCCCGACTCTGTGGCAGGGCAATCCCCTGTGTTCTCTCTCTCCTTTTGGGTGTTGTGGTCTGCAAAAGAGGCATTGAGTGGCAAACATGTTCAGTCCATAGTCCACTTTCGACATGCATCTCCCCTCCTGGGAGGATCCTCCAAACACCCTTTATTTGGTGTTCCCTTCTCTATCTGAGCTACGCTTTCCTCTAGAATGCCTCACTGGACACTAAACTATGGAGTAATCCTCCTGGTGCTGATCTCAGCTATTCTTGGGTATTAATCTCATACTTTGTTACTTTATATCCCCCAGATGAGTGCAATCTTTCTATGTCTATCCCTCTCTTTCTGACTCATTTCGCTTAGCATGATACTTTCCATGTTGTAACAATTCTATGTAAATTTCATGACTTCATCTTTTCTAAGAGCTACATAGTACTCCATTGTGTAGATGTACCAAAGTTTCTTTAACCAGTCATCTGTTCTTGGGCATTCAGGTTTCTTCCAGTTTCTGGCTATTGTAAAGAGTGCTGCAATGAACAAACAAGTACAGATGTCACTTCGACTATACATTTTTGCCTCTCTGGGATATATTCCCAGGAGTGGTATTGCTGGGTCAAATGGGAGCTCAATTTCTAATTTTTTGAGAATCGTCCATACTGTTTTCCAGAAGGGCTGAACCAGTGGACATTCCCACCAACAGTGAAGGAGTGTCCCTTTCTTGCCACATTCGTGCCAGCATTGGTTGCTTTTTTTCTTTTGAATGTGGGCCAGTCTCTGAGGTGTGAGATGGTATCTCATTGTGGTTTTGATCTACATCTCCCTGATGATTAATGATGTAGAGCATTTTCTCATGTGCTTTTTTGCCATTCGGATTTCTTCTTTGAGAAAGTTTCTGTTCATTTCATTGCCCCATTTTTGGATGGGGTTGGATGTTTTCTTCTTGTGGAGTTTAACCAGTATTTTGTATATCCTGGATATCAACCCCTTGTCAGATGTGTATTCGGCGAATATCCTTTCCCATTCTGTAGAATGTCTTTGTATTTTGGTCACTGTTTCTTTGGAGGTGCAGAAGCTTCTTAGTTTAAGATAGTCCCATTTATCTATCTCTGTTTTCACTTGCTATGACAGTGGCGTGGCATCTTTGAAGATACCATTAGCTTCAATGTCATGGAGGGTTTTGCCAACTTTGTCTTCAATGTACCTTATGGTTTCTGGTCTGATGTTGAGGTCTAATCCATTTTGATCTTACTTTTGTACACGGTGTTAGGCAGAGTCCTGAGCCCATTTTTTTTGCATGTAGCCATCCAGTGATGCCAGCACAATTTGTTAAAGAGGCTTTCCTTACTCCACTTCACATTGCACCTTTATCAAAGATTAGATGATCATATGATTGAGGGGAGATGTCAGTGTATTCAACCCTGTTCCATTGGTCTGCAGTTCTGCCTTTGTTCCAGTACCATGCTGTTTTAATTATTACTGCTTTGTAGTACAGTTTGAAGTTCGGGAGGTTGATTCCTCCCATTTTCTTTTTCCCAAGAATTGCTTTAGCTATTCGTGGGGGCTTATTGTTCCATATAAATTTCAGGAGTGTTTGCTCCATTTTTTTGAAGAATGTCATTGGTATCCTTATAGGGATTGCATTGAATTTATACAATGCTTTTGGTAGTATTGCCATTTTGACAATGTTAAATCTCCCGACCCATGAGCAGGGATATCTTTCCATTTCCTCATGTCCTCTTTTGTTTCCTGAAGTAGCGTTTTGTAGTTTTCTTTGTACAGGTCCTTTACTTCCTTAGTTAACCTGATTCCTAAGTACTTGATTTTCTGGGGCACAATTGTGAACGGGAGTGTTTTTTTCATGTTGTTTTCTTCTCTCTCACTGTTTGCATATAGGAAAGCCACGGACTTTTGGGTATTGATTTTATAGCCTGCAACTTTACTATACGAGTCTATTGTTTCTAGGAGTTTTTTGTTGGAGGTTATTGGGTTCTCTAAGTATAGTATCATATCATCTGCGAATAGTGAGAGCTTGATTTCTTCCTTTCCTACCTGAATGCCCTTAATATCTTTTTCTTGCCTAATCGCTATTGCAAGTACTTCCAGTACTATATTGAACAGCAGTGGAGAGAGTGGGCATCCTTGTCTCGTCCCTGATCTTAGAGGGAAGGCTCTCAGTTTTTCCCCATTGAGGATGATGCTTGCTGTAGACTTGTGGTAGATGGCTTTAATTATGTTGAGGAAGGTCCCCTCTATACCCATTTTGGCTAGGGTTTTCATCATAAAGGGG